GGCTGCAGTGGTGGAACAAGTTAGCAAGAGGCTCCATAGGACTGGATCCTGTTACTGTTTTCCTTATGTACTAACAGTGTAAGCAAGTATATGGCATTTAAGAGCATTTCTATTTTTAAAGTTCTGCTCTTTTTCTTTCCAGTGTGTTTCCCTTCCCCAGCCCCCTTCAAGAGTTTCTAGCCACATGCAGTCAGAGGCAGGGCTGTGTTTCTACCCTTTGAACTTGCCCAAAGAGGATGGTGAAACTGAACGATGGAGCTGCTTGCCTGAAAATGTATTACAACAGTAACTTGGATGGTAACAGTGCCTGGGCAAACAACAGCTGGGCAAACAACTCACATTCTGTCTATCTTGCAATAAAATGGTCTTGGGCATCTCAGATGTGTACTTCTCCCCCCACCTGGTGCTTTGACTAGTTGGGAAACCTTAAGTGGTTGCCACTTCCCTAAGCACAAGGAGAGGGATTTTTGATGGGGCTTCCCACTTAATCTGTGGCATCTTTGAATGAAACAGTCTTGATTCATCTCACTGTGAATGTGCTGTTAAAATGCTTCATGGGTTAGTGTCATCCCATGTTGGCTCCCACATATCATCCCTAGTTTGGTCAAATCTCTCTAAAGTACAGTGTTTCGGTTGCCTTTTTACTGCTCTCTGTTTTATGCCAGAAAATCTCCTTATCTCTGGTGATTTCCTAATGGATAAGAAAACAGTTTGGGAGTTCATTTACTGTATCTTGCATTTAGGCGTAGCACCAAGCAGAATCAAGATGACTTGGTTGGTAGTGAGCCTTTTACTGATGTTGTCCTTTCAAATCCTGTCGACAGTGACCAAGAACCATGGCACTCAGGAGATGCTCTTGCTAGGGGATGCTTTGATTTCTCTTCCTTCAGTAAGTGGGAAGATTTTCTGCTTGTATTTCAATGCAGAGAGGAGAATGATTGCTGATGGTGTATGATTAGCTGCTGGAGGCCAGGGTTGGTGTTTGGGTCTGGTTGTCCCAAGGTTTGCAGGCTCTTCAAGCAGTGCAGATTGGTGCCACATAACATGGCTGCTGGTAATCGTGGACTAGATATCTGAATCACCTCTGTGGTTGTGGGGCTCTTGGCATCTCTACCTGCCTGTCCTGTGAAGGACCATGCAGTTGCCTGGATACACAAGCACGAGCTATGTTTACCACAGCCCCTGCAATTGTTCACTTGCAGAAGTGGAGATTTCGGATGTAATTATGGCAGTGGGGAGGAATGTGTGAAAAGAGCTCAGAGATGTCAGAGCACCTGCTCGTGAGGAGAGGGCCACGTTAGCAGAGCTGTTGGCTAGCAGTAAACAGTCCTGGCACCCTTGTTTCAGGACTTGGCAGCAGCAGGAGTTGAACCGAGTCCAGCTTTACTCTCTACTGCCTGTTCAGTAAGTTGAGGACAAGGCAGATGATTAAGGAAATGTGGGGAAACTGCTACAGAAGCTTTTGGAAAGATAAGAGACTTTGGTCTCCATGTCTGACAGTCTGGCACTTCTCACTAGCATTGAATTCACATGCAAATCAAAGGCAACATCTACTCCCACAGGAAGCTTTATTAATGTACAGGCCTGCTTGCGAATCTCCGTGCTGATGAAGGTTGTGGGACTGAATTCACTCTCAAATTAATTTCCCTGTCTATTCTTGCTTGAGCACTGTGCAGCATTGGCAGCCTCAGCAGGGCTCCCTCACCAGCATCCAACAATGGGCTATGCATGGAACCAGAGAGGAGGGTAGAGGTGCAGCACTTGTTGGCTGTGATTAAATGGGGTGTGCGGATGTCCACCAGGCTTGAACCAACATCAGCAAATTAGTTTTCACGAAGGCACTCCAAGTGGACTTGAAATACTTTGCATGTAAGAGGAAAGAGGGTTGGTGCTTCCAGATCTGAGCTAGCCATCTTTCTTCTACACGTCTCGTCATGTGTAAGGAGTGTGGATGAGACTTGGAAATGGCAGGAGTAGTGCTTGGTCTGAGACAGGAGAGAGGAAAGGCTGAGGCGGGAAACATGGAGCGACTTGGGATCCCTGGGTTCACTGTACCACCAAGGATGCAGTAGCTGCTTGATGCAGATGTTCAGTAAGAACCAGATCTGAGTTATAAACAACCTTCCACATTTAAACCCTAGCTCATGTGATGCTTAGCTTTTATTGCTGTCAGTTATTTATAAGTGGAAAAGTGAAATCTTGAGAGAAGTGGGAAATGCCATTTCAAGCCGCAGTCCCCTGAGCTGTCAGCTTGCTGCCATCTCACCTCTGCCTGCCCCTCCCATCTTTCTCCCTTTGCTGTTCCTGTCCATCCCAGCTCATTGTATCTGGGATGCTCCCTTTGGCCAACCCATTCATTACTCTCATTCTTCCTAATCCTTTCCTTACCCCCCCCAGTGCCAGGACAAGTGCCAGCCCCACATGGAGCAGTGTGATGTAGGTGTCTCCTCGAGTGGGTGCTGTGCAGGTGGGACCAGAGCAGGGACAGAGCTCTGGCTTTGCCCCATCAGAGCCTTGCCCTGAGGGCAGAGATCTTCACCAGCATGGGGTCAGCTGTGTTAAGGACTGGTGGTGGCAGCAGCCACCCCACCAAGCCGCTCAGAGCTTCGTGGCCAGCTCGAGCAGAAAGCAGGCATTTCTTGCATGGCTACTTGTTCTGGGAATCTTCAAAAATTTCTGGCAGCCAATTTAATTGTGCAACCTCTCAGCTGCCAGAACGGGTAGAATATGATCATATCACATGAAATGCATGCAGGGTCTGCTATAGCAACTGTATTTCAAAGAGACAACACATATGGTGACTGGTTCTTTTTGGAATAATATCTATAAGCTGATGATGTTTTATTCAAAAAGGCTGTAGCTTGAAAGGTTAGGGATGTTCTGATTGTTTAGTGTATGATTAAAGAAAGGCTCCTATGGTTTTTTTTTGGCCTATTGAATCTAATTACTGGGAACTAAAATGATCATTTGATTGCACATTTACCTGGAATTATTCTTCTGCAGAGCCAGTCTTAATAATATATAATAATATGTTGCGCTTGTACTGTATAGCGCTTCTTGTCTGAGCAACTCAGAGTGCTTTACAAGTATTCATTAATTAAATAAGCCATACAACAGCCCTGTTAAGTAGGTGAGTATTTGTTGCCCATCCCCTTAAGCCTTGTAGGTTTTATTTCTGCCCACCCTTGAAGATGTTTTAACAGCTAAATAAGCTAATTCAATAAAAATAACATTTTTTTTTAACCATTCTTAGCACATTCTGCAGAAGGGTTTCCTTTGTTGCATTGTGTTAATTGCTGGGCTCTAGGTTCTTGACGTTGAACCGATGGAGAGGGTGGTTGTAGATGTGTGTGTGAGCAGAGACGTGCCCTGCCCAGCGACTCCTCACGCCCCTCATGGGGACATGGACCATTGTAGAGATGCTCCCCAAGCACTGAGTTCCAGCCAGTTTGAAGTGTAAAGTCTGACTTCTTCATCACACCGAGCTCTGCTGGAAATCACATCCAGCCTTACAGAGTTTTTGTGATCCAGTGGAGACTTGTTAATGAATCTGAAATGAGGGCTCATTGCTGGAGCATGGTAAGGTCTCTGCGCCCAACTTGCGTTGGTGTGCTGGCCAGCAGCGGTGCTTCTTCAGCCTCTCCGTGGGCAGCTGAATGTCCCTTCAAAGTCAAATACAGGCCTAGCCCATAAAATAACAAGGTTTTACTGGGGGTGGCAGATCCGAGTTTGCAGTCCTCAGTGTCAAACCTTTCCCAGCAGTTCTGTGCTAAGATGAGACACTTGCAACTTGGAGAAGCAAGTGAAACCCGAAGCGTATCTGACTCCTTAATTAAATAGGTATTAATTAAATCACTCAGAGAGCATACACAGTAGGAGTGGGGAAGGCTTTTTCCCTCCTTCCGTGTAGGCATCTTGCAAAGGGACTATTTTTCTTGTTTTACATTAATGAAGTCTTCAGCCTTCCCACTTTTCCACCTACGCATGTACTGAACGTCTCCAAGGAGACCAAGGCGGCCCGAGTCCGGTGCTGGTGAATCCTCTGGGAGCAGCGGGCTCAGGTCTCAGCAGCGGAGCCTCAGTGGTGCCACCGCCTGTCTTACTGGGATCATCCTTGTGGTCCCTTGTCTGGGGAGCTAGGGCAGGGCCTTGCCCTTGTACTTCTTTCCCCTTCATCTTCCCTTGTTTTCTTTTCCCCACCTGATGGAGAAATGGGGCCCCACAGAGCTCCAGTGCCCAGGGGCTGTTTTCTCTCACTTTGCACAAAGCATTGCAGTAACTCCCCGCTGTGTGATGCTCTGCTTATGCTTTTATGATCGTATCCTTTTCCTCTCCACCCCGTAAGGCTGCGCTGTCCCTTCACTGCTCTGCCTCATCCCTTCTGAGGCCCCACTGCTGGTCCATCACGAGCTCTTAGTGGTTTTGGTGGGCTGAGGTGCTGTCCCTGCTTTTCAATGCATTGACAGTGAATGTTCCTCGCAGCTTCCTCAGCCTTCAGCATGGTACCTCTGGGATTCTCTTCTTGCCACTGGCTCTTCTCTTCCTCCCACCACAGCCTTCCAGAAACTTCCCTGACTTCCTCTGGCTCTCAGGAGAGCAGGCAGTGATATATGACTGCCCTCTTCTGTAAACCTGACGTGACCCACTGGAGAAAGAGGAGCATGAAAGCCTTTAGCACAAGAGCCTGCCGGTAGCTAGGAGGACTGTGAGCTGCTCCTGCAGCTACACAAGGTTCCCACCCAGGAGCTGAGCATCAGCTGCTGCTGTTTTCCTCATAGTCTCCATAGAGTAGGAAACCCAGCAGTGGGATATTGCCCCATTGAATGGAAGTGCTGACTTGTCTTTTTTTTTGTGGAAATCAACTGCTGTCCTTAGGGAGGGTGCTTCAGGAGAGGAGTTGTACCCCATGGCCAAGGGTTGCCTTGACCCTAGGTACTGTGCATGTAGCTCCCCACACCCTGTCTGCTGTAAACTCAGTTTTCAAACCTCTTCCCTTGCAGGCTCTCCAGGTAGCACGGCAGCTTCTACTGCAACAGCAGCAGCAGCAGCAACAGCAGCAGCAGCAGCAGCAACAAGTTAGTGGATTAAAGTCTCCGAAGAGGAATGACAAACAGCCAGCCCTTCAGGTAAGGGGAGCCTCTGTGCCTCCCTGAGCAGGCTTGTAAAAGCTGAATAAATGCGTCTTCCTTGTGGATGTTGGGATAGGACATTCAGGAGCTTCCTCCTAGTGAAGTCCACAGAGCGGCTGTGGCTGATGTAGGTGGTGTGAGGACCTGTGCTAGGTGAGCTTTAAAATCCCACCACAGCAAATTTACAGATCATGAGCGTACATCTATTAGCATGTGGTAGGGTTGGATCATGACAAAATGGAATAGCTTTTGTTACTGTGTCAGTATGCATGGGAGATTTGCATTAACATTTCTGTTTGATTGCTGTTCCATTTGTAGTCTGCGTTCACTCAAACCGATGATTTGCTGTGTCAAGGATATTGGGAAATACTAGGATATCATATCGTCGGTGTATTTTTTCCCCTTTTATTGTCTGCTGATGTATGGACATCTTTAGAAAGAAAATCTAAATATTACCAGGCTTTGTGCTATTATGAATTCAGAAAGCTAAAACCAGTACAGCATTCCCAAACAGAAGATGTCTGCACACATAGGAGGCTTTGGAGTACGTTTTGCTAGTCTTGCAGGATAAATCACAGGAGTTAAAGACAAGAAAGACCTATTAGGTCATGTATCACATTTTCCTCCTTTTTTCTTCTTTTGCTATTATAGTGGTAGAAATCCCAAGTGGTGGGTAGGACCGCTATTATTTTCCTTCAGATGGTTTTCCATAACAAAGCACACGCTCAGGAACTTTCCACTTTAATTCCATCCTCTTGCTCCAAGTAATACTGCTTGTATAAATACCGAGTCAGTCCCTTGCCTTGCCTCGTGTTCACACTCCTCAAACATCTGAGATACTAACATGTACTTGCCAGTTTTGGCAAATTATATGTATCTAGTTCTTTATGTGTTTCGTAAACCGGCACTTCCAGACCCTTGACCACTTTGCTGGGTTGCAGCTGGTTATTGCTTTTATTACTGCTCTCTTTGCAATTGCAGCGTGTCACTGTATTTTTGATAATAAGTTCCTGAATACAGCAGTTCAGCTGCAGTCACACAAAGCCCTGTAGCTGGGACATTTATCTTATCTCGTTCTTCTATATCTGATGCTTCAGCCTCTGTAGCCCCAAATTCTTTCCGCTTTTTTTCTCTTTTCCGTTGTTGTCATAGCACGTTGTCAAACTCATGTCTGTTTTGCTCTTTCTATTTTTTTTTTTCTAGTTTGATATACTATCACCATGAGTTCCCTGACAGCATTGCTGCTTCTCTTGCCTTTTATATGTGCTTCAGATTATTTTCCCCCAAAAGTATGGATCCTGGGCGCTTTAAATATGTAGTAGAATGTGAAAGGTAAAGCCAACATCACTAAAGGCCTTGACAGTAAAGTTAGAGGACCCCATCCTGCAGTTCTTACCCAAATAAAGCTGACAGGCACTTCAAGGGGAGTTTTGCCTGAGTGAGGAATAGCCATTAACTGCAGCCCTTGGCCCAGCATGGACAACTTCTCGCTTTTGTGTAGTGATTTCATCTTCAAAGCATTTTGCAAATACTAATCTCCAAAACACCCCCAGAAGGAAAGTCTGATAAGTAAGTAGCATTATCCCAGTTCTGGACTGGGAAACTGAGGGAAGCAGGTTAAGTGACTTGCTTAAGATCACAGAGGGAATTTGGTTTAGAGGTAGGATTAAGATTCATGAGTTCCTGGCTCCCACCCCCGTGCTCAGGCTGCTGGACAACACCTCACACTTTATAGCCGAGCCATTATTCTTTTGGAAAGTATGAAGCATTTTGTCATTGGGCAAATATACGTTTTATTGGCAGTGTAGAGCACCATAATCCAGAGCGTTACATTAATGCTTTCAAAAATATTTTATTTGGTAAATCCATAGCTGATCCATATGCCTTTTAATAGACTCTTCCACTGGGGACATTTTTAATGAGAGATTGTGCTGGCTAGGTCCAGTGTCAGGTACTAAAAGAAGTGCTTTGTTGTGCAGATGTCTTAAGAATAGCTCCAGAGGATGAAATATGACTGTGTTGACCTTTCAGCTGTGAGCTTATTTGTCAGGATTCAAATAAGTTGAAAGGATCAAACCAAACAGTTTCCGTAGTCAGACTGGGAATTGTGTTGCAGAGGTCAACAGTGAAGGCCACATCGCAGATTCCATAACATAGACAATTGTTGGTACGTATTAAAGTACTGGAGCAGCTCCTGCAGTCAGAGACACAATTAAAATTCTAATTTATTAATGTATACAGAGAGCTGGCCCAGCCTGTCACTCACTAATTCAAATGACTGCCCAGTCTTTTTTTTTTTCCTATCCCTTCCTCACTCCTGGTGCTTTTGCAGTCTTAAACGTACTGGAAGTCCTCTTGAATGTAACAGACACTGAGCACATCCCTGCAATGAAAATCTGTGGCTGAAAGAAAACGGTGGTGCTGGGGGTAGAATTTGTGAGTAAAACTGCACCCACACAAGCACCCACAGCCCTTGGAGTTGGATGGCACCGCACCGACGAGGCAATACCCATTGCTGACAGCACACAGAATAAATGCTGAGGGAGGTGGAAATATGCCCGTTTTCCGAAAGTTTGCTTAAATAATGAACCGAGTCATCTTTGCACTTAGTTTATAAATAGAGATGTCTCATTCGATAGCCACAGTGATTAGCAGTTACCTGTTGTTTTTCTTTCTGGCAGGCAGACTTTGTGTATAACAAGAGTACTGCAGACGTTGCTTAGCTCTGCTGTGCTTGGTGAAGGCACTGGTGAAGAGCTCCCTAACATGAGTGCTGGGAGCTGTGTTGGCATGACACAGGCGGAGGGAAAGGGATGCTGTTCACCCAGGGTGCTAGTTCTCCTTGTCAGATGCTCTGTGGCCGTGCCCAAGAGGGGAGGCTGGTTTGGTTCCGCGCAGGGCTGGAATAGCTCCATGTTAGGCTCAGCACTTTAATGTCGGCTGGCAGGTTTGTCAGATAAACCCCACTACCATAAGCAGGTATGGAAAATTCATCTACTAAACACTGTATACCTAATCTGTAATCATCTTGTGGATCATATCCTGTATTCCTTCTTTATTCACTGATCAAATAGCCACAGTACCTAAATAGATCCCGGCATCCCGTGGCCACACTGGGGCACGGGGACTTCGAAAACGTCTACGTGACAGTGGGCTCCACTTTTGTCTTTGGGGTCTCTTGACCTTGTGAATTCTACCTGGCGACCTGATTTTAGCAGATTTTGACATATTCAGTGTATAAGAAGCTGGACACGGGAGTGGAGATGTGCTGATAGCTGAAAGTAAATAAATCTCCAAATACCCGATGACTCACATTTTGAGCCTATCTCGCACTGCCGTGCTTTACATTTGGCAGTGACCTCCGGTTTCACAGCCTGATGACACAAACAAAAGAAAATTGGAAGTTAAGGAATGGATTTAGTAACCAGCAGTTGGGAAAAGAGCATAAAAAAAAAAATACATCATCCCTGCAAAAATTACTGGAAGTGAAAAAAAAAACCCTAAAGCCTGTTTGGTAATATATTTGCCATAGACATCGGATTTCCTTAAGTCTATGAAACAAATAATTTAACAGGCCAGGTATGCTCAGGATTTTGAAAATGTGCACATTTTTCCTGGCCAAGATAGATATATCTTTGTATTAATAGATGTATTGATTAAAATTTGCAGCTTTAATTGCTGATGCTCCTAACGATTATTCATTTTGGTTCTTTAAGCATTTTAGTTGCTGGCAAGAGCACACAGATTGGAAACAAATCAAGAGACACATTTTCTCCCAAGAAAGTAAAAGTGCATGTGTGTTTTGGCAATACTAAAAATACAGTTTTTTTAAAGACGTAAATGTTGCATTGAGATGAAAGTTGGATACCGGACTGAAAACAGATTTAGGACGTCCAAAGTCAGTATCTTGCAATTGAAACCCATCACTTGACTTTTTCATGGGATTAAAATGAGGTTCATTGTATGATAGTGAACCTGCGTGTGTTTGGAGAGAAGAAACAATGAAATTACAAAGATGGAAACTTTTGGTTTCAGTTGACAAAACAGGAAATAAATCTTCCTTTTAATTCATGGCCAGGGAAAGAATTTGGGTTTGGTTTAGATTTTTGGGGAAAGACTGAGGGAGGCTGAGAGGACAGAGCTGTCCTTGCCTTTGCATACCGCTGCTTTTTAAAGCAGCCTTTTGGCTGGGCTTTTGTGGAATTCAGTTTGCATGCTGTGTTATCTTACTATTTCTTTCCAGTATCTTGAGAGATAGAAAAGGGCAAGATTTAAAAATCACTGTTGCTTGATGTTGGGGGCAATTATTGTCCGTTTTTATGAAATTAGGAATCATTAGCTCAACAACATCATAAACACTGAAAGGTGAAGGGAAGGGTGTTCTCTGTTTCGCTTGGAGCACACAAGTACCAGGTTATGTGGTCTTGGGCTTTACACGCAGGGCACCTTTTTTACATGGTGGTAAATTTAACAACTGGAAGAGAACTAATGTCTCAGCAGATAATTTGGGAGGGGAAGTGAATTTGCAAGTGTGTTTATTCCATTTGTATGAGTATCTCTCTGTTTCAGTCTTGAACATGGGAGTTGGTCTGAATAAGGCCTCAGCTAAGCCAATGGGAATGTTGCCACCAACTCCAGTTGGGCTGAGATTTCACTTCTGCAGGGTTTAAATAGTTCACCTATGAGAATTGCACATGAATCCTTAACTTTTACTTCTGACTTTGGAAATCAAAGTTGACTGTTGCTGGTTTCTACCAAAAGACCCATAATTCTTTCAGCCCGTAGACCAATTATAGGTGTTAGTCAGTGCCTGTGAAGTGCAGATCTCATCCACCCCACAGACAGGACAAAACCTGAATCAGGTTTTTTTCACATGATCAGCTTGAAAATTTTGATACTAAAGATTCTAATTTTTTTTTTTTCAGTGAACCCTGCGGGCCTTCTTTTGCTGTCCTTTTACATACTTGTTAAAGCCTTTAATATTCAGGTTTACCAGC